TTGATAATCATAAAGCCACAAGGGGAAAAAGGTACAAAACAACTGATAATTGAAATAAACAACCAATAAAACCCTAAGCTTTCCATGATTCTAGAGTGGGAAAGCAAGGCAAACTGTCGCAATCTGAGGAAGCTCCAGCGTTGGCCACCACGGGAGACTGAAACGGTACTACGCCAGACCCTGCAACACCTCCCGAAGACGGCTGACGGTGATCCAGTAAAAACGCCGATGTGTCCAGCGTAGGCAAGCTTCCGGGTCTCTGGAGCTCCGGCTTTAAGATCGGACCGGGAGACATCTGAGCGTTACCAAATCTGACCCCGGTGACCTGCTGCACCATCTGCCTGAAATTGGTCGGATCCGCTTTTATGAAAGTGGTATGTGAGCGCTTGGAGGCCCGGGACTTGCGTTTGGACTTGGACACTTTCCCCGTTGGAGGGAGGTCGAGTTTCCGTCGACGATTAAGCATAGTTTCATGATCGGAACCGGAAAGATTTGAGCCGGTGGGCGTCGGTAGAGGGTCGGAGTTAACGAGGGATAAGAGCGGGGAAAAAGAAAGACAATCAGTGTTAGAAATGGAGTCTTGAAGCGCCTTGGTTAGAGCTTCGGTATCGTGAGAAAAAGCTTCAGAGAGCCATGAATCAGTAAAACTAGGACGAAACGCCCATGATTCTATGCTCCCCAGATTTTCCAATGAAGAAGCCATTAGATCTCTCTGTTTTTTTTTCCCACACAACTAATGAACTAAATGATCCTATTTATGTCAAAATGAAAGAGAAAAAAAGAAGGGCTCAAAAGAAAGGAATCATCCAGATGCTTGAGACTGGTGATTTTTATGGAATTTTGTTAGGGGTTTTGGTTGGAAGTTGAAACCTAAAAAACAGAAAGCGAAAGGAAATGAAAGGATAGGGAGACAGGGGGAGAAGAAAGAAGAGGCATTAAATAGGACGGTGCATGGTAGAGGGGATAAACAGAAAACCGCGTCGTAATGACATATGTACAGGCGTCAGCTTCTTCTCGTACGGGAATCAACCTAACGTACTTCAGCTACTACTCATCTAACCATGGTTTGTTTCTTTATGGTCTAATAACAATTTTGACCCTCATAGTTTTCAAAACAATACTATTTTAGCTTTTTATACTCTTTCTCTTTTTTTATTAAATTAAATCGATTTATATGAAACATATCATTAGTCTCATTAGACTGATATCAGTCATTTCATATTTATTTATTATTTTATTTAAAATAAATTTTATATTTTATATCTTTAATAATTCAAATATATTTATTTTTATTAAAAAAAATTCAAAAAGAAAAAGCGGATATTGTTATAATTGTGCTAAAATAATTTATATAAACTTGACAGAATTATTTACTTTTTAACTTGATTTAATTAAATAAAAATCAAAAACTGGAAAATATTTAAGGACTAATATAAACTTTATAAAAGTTAGAGGAAAAGAATGTCATTAAACCTTTACTATTATTTGATTTAGTTTATTAAATTATTAGTGAGTTGTGAGATTGACTCACTGAGTGCAATGGCTTTCAGCCACTTATTCCACAGGTTTGACTGTAAAGCCGCGTCTCTCGGTGTCCACCCTTACGCGTTAACTCCACTTTTTTTATATTTTTTTTATTTACTAATAACTACACTTCCTTTTTAAAAATTCATTTCTCCCTCTTTCTTCCTCGAGGCTGGCATAATTTGGGCTAAATTAACATCAATTTGATATCCACCTCACTTTCTTCCCTTTTTTTTATCTAATCTCGAACTTTAACGAAATATGTTTACTATGATTAGAGGTGTGTAAAATTATCGACCCATTCGTCAATCAAGATCTTAAAAAATCGGGTAATTTCTAAAAGAATTTACTCGGCCGGGTCGGACTCGGGTCACAAAATCTAATTTTTCTGAAAACCCGGTTACCCGAGTATCCGGTTAGTTTTTTTTAAATATATATAATATAATATAATGAATTATTTATATTATTGATTATTAGATTTTTTATTTTGAACTTTTAAATTTTATGTTGGATATTAGAGTATGTAATTGAAGTTTCGAATATTTAAATTTGTGTATATTTTTTAAAATTAATAATTCAAAATAAAAAATAAAAAAGGGTATCGTGTACCCGCAAAATCTGGGTATCCAATTACCGGGTACCCGTAACATCCGGGTCGAGACACGGGTCAAGAAATTACCGACCCGGATATTACTAATACCTAAAAATATAGGTACCCAGATTTACACACCTCTAATTATGATCATGCTCATAAGTCATAATGAGATTTATATTATAATAAAGGCCAAGTAATCTCAATATTACTTTTATTTTAAGTTTGTCATATTTTGAAGACTAATATTTTAAAAATCATGTTTCAAGTATATAAGTCATCAATTTTCTTTGATTTAATAATGTAAAACTTTTAATTTAATCATTCAACTTTTAAATTTTTTAGCATAACACTTAATATAAAAGTAAAAAAATAGTTATTTCTAGGGATGACAACGGGGCGGTTTCGGGTCGGGAATAGGTCCCCCGTCCCCGTTTAAAAAACTTATATCCGTCCCTGTTTAAAAAACCGTGAGAATTTAAAAGGGATCCACATCGGGTAATCGGGGAAAACCGCAGGGAAACAGATATTCCCGTTTAGCATAAACGTTACCTTAGATGGTTATTTTTCACCACAGGGATATCCGTTACCGTTTAAATTTTAAGATGACACGAGTTATTTAAAAAATAATGTCATTATCGGATCTAAACTTACTTGAAACGCCAAACACCACCAAATGCATCCAAAATATAAAAGCAAAACAATTCAAATAGACAAATATAATGACAAAGACTAATAATATAATGTTTCAACTTTCATAAACGAAATCATTCTTCCAAAGTTCCAACTTCCAAGTCACGTCAACAACACCACCACCGTCATCAAACAGTTGTGACTCCCGATTGCTACTATTACACACAAAAAATTTATAAGCCACCAAAATTTATATAAAAAAGTTAATGATATCACGTATAACTTGTATATCAATTTAGTACCTCATCACCATCATCACGATCATATTCGATGATTTTACAATATGCTTCGGACTCTTGTGAACAAGTTGTTTTATTTATTAATTTATATAATAAACTTATAAGTAAAAGAAATTATTGATTACCTCTTATTTCGTTTATTAACCAACTTTGGGCACACATTAGCGCTTCCAACGCTAATGTTTATTGGGACGTTTATATATATATATATAATAATTATTTTTAATATTTATCGGGCCGGGTATTCGGGTAATCGGGGGATTACCAAATCCGTCCCCGTTTAAAAAATTCAATTTTTCTCCGTCCCCGTCCCCATTTATCATCCCCGAACCCGACCTGTTTAATTCAGTTTTCCCCGACGGGTTCGATTTTTTTTTGTCTTCCCTATTTATTTCTCATAAACCTTTATGAAAAAAGTGTTTTCTTTTATCATTGGAATGAAGCCCCATAATTGTCCCAACATTTTAGACCTAGACCTTCCATATGTAATATGTTACTTTTTGTCTTCCGTAACATATATATATATATATATATATATATATATATATATATATATATATAATAATAATAAAACATTCATAGGATGAACACAAATAAAATTTTAAAATAAATAAATTTAATAAAATAAACCATTAATATAAAACATTTAAATTTTAATGTCAGTATGTGCCCACCCTAAAACTCATTCATATCCGTCACTGCTTGTTACTTGTTACGGATTTGTAAAAAAAAAAAGCTTTGATGCTTTTGAGTTATTCAAAGCCTCATGAGTTTTTATTTTCTTTTATAGATTTACTTGTTTTCGTTGTTTGTGGAATTGACTTTGATTTGTTGGTATTTCTGTTTCTTAGAGGTATCACAATGTTTTTGAGGTCGTATGATGAAATTCGAAAAAAATAAGAGTCATCGTCAATCTCTTTTTTAGGTGTGATTGAATTAATTATTTTTTAATTTTTTTATTATCGATGTACAAATATAGATTAAAATAAAAATATTTTATGAATAAATGAAGAGTAGAGTTTAGAAATAAAACTTGAATGACAATAGAATAACGAACTGGAAATAAGTTGAGGCATGTAGTTATATAGTTCCTTTAAGATAAATTTTCGGCCACTCTTGGATGTCGCGGCCGCCTTTTGGTTGGGCCCGGAATTGAGCTTCGACTTGAATGAAATAAGTTAGAGTCGTCACCGATCATTTAAAAACAATTTTAGGTTGATGGACACCATCTTACCCGATCTGTGTTTTACCAGAAATGTGTCGGGTTCGGGAGTCGATTACAGTCAAGGAAGGATTATCACCCTTGAATTGCCCTTTCGGTAACATTTAATTTATAGGTTGTCTTAATTGCGAAAATTAAAATTAAAATTTAAAAACTCGATTCAAATTATTTACCATTTGATTGGTTGGAATTCCTCTAAAAAGGTAAAAAAGAATGTTAGATTGCAAAAATAAAAATAAATAAATAAAAAAATATAAAATCAAGTTTAAAGAAAAAATAATGAAAAAAAAATGACTAAAATAAAATACAAGACTAAACAGAGGACTTAAAGCATGAATTACTCCATTTTAAATATTGAAAAATAAAAGGGACCAAAATGAATAATACACAAAATCATCAATTAAATTTCGGAATACACAAAATGAATACTTTCAAGTCCAAGACATGCATCAACATAGCTTTCACGTAAAAATTAAGATTCACCCATAACAACCAAAATGGCTAAAAGGAAAAGCAATCAAATTAAGTTTGACTCAGTGTGACATTTCAAGATACTCGATGCATGGATGATATGCTCCAGAGGTTATACTTACTTTGATTTTCTGCTCTGCCTGAACAAGGTTTAACAAAGTAACAAATCAAAATTTGCTTCCTTTCACTTTAATTTGTTGTCTTCTAATCTCACCGAAATGGGTGAGGAAGTTTCAGAACGCTGCTTCTATGACGTGTAAAAAAAGGAATTTATTTATCTGATTGGATGCGTGGGAGCTAGATCCGTCAGCGCAATATCCTGAGCAGCCTTGTAAGACAACATTGTATCCTCAGCATCCGCTTTCCTCTCATCATCGACCTTAAACTCTGCTATATACCGATGATAATCCCCTTTCATCTTCAAATAAAAAACCTTGGACTCAATCGCCGCAGCAGAAGGGATCAGATTCAAGTCCAACAAAGTCAATATACTAGCGCAAACATCCGACAACTCAGCTTCGATCTTCGATCTATACTCCTTAACGAGCACAACAGGTTCCTCGTTCTTACGACCTTCTTCTTTCTGCTCGATGGAAGAAATGATTCTCCACACGGCGCGTAGAGAGCCGATCACGTTTTTGTAGGCGACCGAGAGAAGGTTCCGTTCCTCGACAGTGAGTTCGGCAGCAGGAGTTGAGCCGAGGACGAGTTTTTGCATGTACTTGACCATCTCCTCGTAGCGTTCGGCTTGTTCGGAAAGCTTGGCTAAGTAAACGGATTGGTCACGGCTTAGATTGTCCGGCACCGTCGTCACCATTTGCAGAAATTGGTAGGCTTTTGAGTGAGAGAAAGATGAATTTTCCTTTCTTTTTTCTCTTTGTTTTTTCCTGTTTTTCATCCCCTTCAATCTAAAGTTGATTTGAATAAATAGGCATGCCCCCCTCTGATAAAGATTCTCACTTTCATTTTTCATCGAAAAGGAAGAGGACACTGTTGAAGAGACGTGCGAGGTGGTGGGTGGGGTCGGTAATTAGGTGTTTAATAGTTTAATAGTTTAGTAGGTAGGTAAATTATGTTTTTTGTTTTTAGGGGTTTTGTAGAATGGTAGGATTGAATATAGGGTTTATAAAAATAAAAAATATAATAATAATAATAATAATAATAATAAATAAATAATAATAATAAATAAATAAATAAATAAATAAATAAATAAATAATATTTTTAAAATTCGGATAAACATGGGTGTCTACACTAGGTGCTCGAGATCTTTGGTCATATGTCTCCAAAGATATAATAATGAGATGTTCAACGTATAGTAACACAACTGTAGAGATCATAAACTATACCTTGCCTGAGCCTATCACAAAAAACTAGAGAAGAAGAAAATATTTTTTTGAGTTGTGTTTGACATAAAAGATTAACACTATATTTATAGGGTTTCACATAAGAGAAAATTAAATAATATATTATGAAAAGTAAGGTCGTTAATAAGTATTCAAACAAATTCGAAAGTAATCAATTAATATTGTATTTAATTGAATACATTTATGAATTGCAATATATATCCTATTAATATTTGAATTAAAGGAAACCATAATATATCCTTTTAATTCAGAACATTAAAAAAGATATGTTACATTTAAGAAAAATATTGAATTCATAGTCGTAAAATATTCGCAAGACCCCGGAGGGTCCGATTGATCCAAACATTCATGTCGCCCATGTCGTACGGGTGCACCCTTTGCCTTGATGGATTCGACGAGCTTGGATTTGTACCTCTGATGCGTCTACGTGCGAGACACAGTTTTAACCCAAGTTATTTAATAATTAACAAGTGGATTGATTTATGCAAACCATTTCCATGTTGGTTTCCTACCAATGTGGAATATGAGTTTTTCATTTTCCTTACACAACAAAATTCATAAGTACCATACTTTGAGCATCAATTTCTTGTTTATCACTCAACCGTTTTGAGCATATGAGATACCGATATAAATATCTCATGGAGTTGAATACGAATCAATAAATTTATTATTCGAATATTTACCTTTATCCATAGAAAATATGCCTTAAAGTTTCCAATTTATCATAATTTTTCCAAAAGTCCCTCACATGAATGAAATTGATGATTTTATCAAAACATTTTGACTCTATATAGTGATAGAGCCTACAAATGATAGTTGCATAGGATAGATAGGTATCCTCCTTTGAATCTCCTCTTGTGACAATATATTTACTTTACTAGCTAACCAATAGACATGATGTCCTTTAATTGTTTTGTCGTTTGTGAAAATGATTATATACTTCACACAATTGTCTTTCTGACAAGTATAATACTTATTGTGAACATCAATTGGTTCTGCAAAAAATTGAAAATAATTGTCTTATAGTCTCCTTGAAGTGACCTCACTTCACTCTCACATAGGCGACTTATGTTGCTCGACTCACCATAGCTCACAATGGTAATTAAAAGCTTTGCTTAACTTGTACAACTTTAATCACTACTTACATCATAGGATCAAACTTATGATTAGAAATCTCCCATGGTTTCTGTACATAGTTTATGCAATTATATTTTCCTTTTGAATATATCTAAGGATCTCTTATCAACAAGGTAGGATTTTCCTTTGCATAACACTTTAATTTTTATGGGCTTTAGTCTCATTCTTTTAGATGTTTTCTTAACTTGATCTCAATTTAATCTTTTGGTTAGCTGATCTACGATGTTATCCTTTGATAATCAATAAAGATGACTCCATTTGAGATCAATTATCTAAAAATATTATGTCGTTGATGCATATGTCTTGATTTACCGTTACATATGAAATTATATGCTCTAGCAATTCTTGCCTGCTTGGCCCATTTTATGTATACTGTGGGCACAAGTTTCATACATTCAAATAAATGCTCAAGAAAATATCAAAGCCACAATGCTTCTTTGCTAGATTTGTCTAGAGCTACAAACTCAAATTCCATTTTGGATCTAGTTATAATCTTTTATCTTGAGGATTTCCATGACATAACTTCTCCCATGTTTCCACAGTTGTAGCATTTTCCTTGGATCTTTCTTGGAAATTCACATTTAGGTCCCAACTTTGACCTAATATTAGGTTGTTTTCCATTCTAGAAGTGTTACCTTCTATACTCGGCCTAGACTTTACGATCGAATCTAGACGAACACATGTCATATGTATAAATATTTCCATATTCAAAACGTAATTGAAAATCCATTTCAGTCAATAAAATACGTATAACGGTAAAATGATGGAATTATCCAATGGTAAAATTCATACGGTAACATATATATATACTAACATAAAAAATCCATATAAAAACAAATTCAGAATAAAATATCAGTAAGACAGATACATACAAACAATAGTAAAAACATGTCTCATCGAAATATAATAAAAGGGTATATAAAAATATATTGTAGTAAAAAATAAAGAACAATCAATCCTCCTAATGCCAAGTCTGGTAGCCTACTATCATGTAATATCTAAAAAGTTAAAAATTTAAAGAGTGGGCTAAAAAGCCCAGTGTGCTCCTTGCGGTGTATGAAAACATTCACATAAATACTTCGGTAAAAAATATTTATAAAACATATTTTTGAAACATGAACACTATCCCCATCTAAATACCAGAATGTGTAGGTTCCCTGAACTATACACCCACATGTACACCCAGTAAGAACCTTATACGTATATCATAAAGACCTACGGTAAGGACTTACCCTGTACAAAAAACATAAGAGCTTATAATAAGATTTTGCAAGTCATAGACTAAGCATAAGATATTTCCTCTAATCATACCTCCAATGATTGTAAATATGCATGTATTTGACTGAAAAAAGTAGTTTAATTCACTAATTCATTAAAACATGAAAACATTTCATATTCTAGGAACATAAATATAAATACAATAACTAGAGAACATGTTATAATTAAACGGTAAAACATATATTAAAATCCAATACATACGGTAAATTGGATATCATGCAATCAAAAGATTTAATATAGTCAGAATTCTAAAACAATTCAGATAAATAGTTCAAAACAATAATGTAACACCATCAAGAACTCAATTGTATAGGTATAAGAAGTCGAATATAGTAGCTACTATTGGGCCTGCCTATTTCAGTTATCGACAGTGCTAGATCCTACGAATCGAAATAACATAATCAAAATCTTAATATAATAAATAATAAAATGCACTTCAACAATATACAAAAAATTATGCGTAGATCTCGAAGTACATGTATTGTACCGATTTATCGAACATGATGCACTAGATCTAGTTAGCCCTCAATCATGAGAAACTCAGGTACCTTTATAAAAATATATTCCCAAATCAATTATATATTCATTACTCAAGTAATCATACTAAAACTAAAAATACTAAATATTTTCGGATTAACAAGCTTATTTCGGGGCTTTCGGGTCAGAATTTAGTGAAATAGACCACAAAATTGAACTCGTGATGTCTAAAAATGTCAAGGGTGAGGTTTTCGAAAAAATCAATGTCGATCAACGGTCAAAGTCAACGTCGGTCAATAATTAAAGTAAACGTCGATCAACGATCAACAGTCAACTCAGCTTTGATTCGACTAAACCAGTTCGGTTTGATTTGGTGTTGGGACGGTTCAATATTAAGCCAATTTGGGATTTGGAATTATTCAAATTTTGGGTTGGACAGGTTAGACGAGTAGGATCATAGGCGAGTCGGGTTGGACAGGTCAGATCAGGTCAACGGGTCGGGTTGACCCGCTTTAGAAGGTCCACTAGGCAGTACAAGCCCCATGCACTGCGATGGCGGGTGGGGGTGTATGTGGGGTCTTGGGCGTAATAAAAAAATACTATAATCATTTTATAGAGTTTTAAGACACTTACCAAACTTGATTCACAACAGTGAACGACGAAGAACTCAATATCAACTTGTCGGAAACTTTTTATTTCTCACCTCTCCACACGCCGATGGCAATTGCCACAAAATGGACGTTGGTGGACTCAGGACAACGTGAGGATCACGATGGTATGAAAGGTGTCGAAAATGGAGCTACAATTGGTGACATAACGTCGATTAAAAATTCTTGAAGAAAGTTACCAAAAATGAAAGTTAGAGAGAGGGTATTGGGTTTCTAGAAATGGAAACTTTATGATTTTGGTGTTTTAAACTCATCCAAAAAGGAAAATGACAACATTATGCCATATGTCCTTGGGCTTTTGTTTCTTTCTAAATTTAGATTCGAATTTAATTAAAATTCATTTTATATCTGAATTCAACCGAAATTTCAATTTAATACCCATAATAAAATTAAGAAAAATTTAGCCCATAAATTGGGGTATGACACGAAGTCTGACAATCAATTTCCCCATGATCATTTTCTTCCTTCTATTCTTCAAGTAATTCTTGAAGTCATTCCATTCGGGAGGTGGTGTTTCAATAATAGTTGTTTCTTGGAATAATTCGTATATGACCATTCTTTTAGCAAGAATTCCATTAACAATCAGTTGAAGTTCCTCTACTTGATTCACTACTGGTTTGGAATCAACCATAGTATACTTCAAGAATTTGACAACTAAAAACTTTTTAGCTCTAGCATCTTTATATTGATATTTGTAGTCCAATGCCTCCCACGATTTCTTTACAGTTTGATAACCCACGATTTCTTTACAATTTGATAACCAGAGTACATTGGATATAGTGAATCCTATAAACTATTCAAGATATAATTATGGCATATGAAGTCAGAGTGCTTCGAAGCTTCAACCATATTAAAGGTGGTAATATTATCTACCTCTCATTCTCATTCTCCCCTTTTAAAATTAAGAGGATCTTCTGTCACACCCTTAATATGGGGTTAGATTTCTTTTAGTTTAAAATATATA